AGAGTAGGGAAATAAATATGTTCCAGCCTACTTGAGACATACGTTCTCACTGATAATCTGACGCTTCTAGCGTTACTGGCTCCGAAGTGTATTAAGTAGTTAATGGAAGTGCCTTTGGAAAACCAATTCGCTCCAGGAGCTGAGCCATGTGGTTAAGGGACAACACTTCTACTGATGGATGGCAGCAGGTGGAGGTCACAGGGATCCCTCTGTCACCTCTCAGGGGTGACTAGAATACAAGGCCCTTGGGGCCAAACTTGAACATGTGCTCAGCCTATTTAGGTGTGGCCCACAGTCAAGACACATTTAGTATTGGAAACAAAGCCAAGAACCCTGTATTAGTCCTTTGGTTTCATGAAATACTGTTGCTATAATAAAATACATGAGGCTGAGTACTTTATAAAGAAAGGGGGTTTATTTAGCTCATAGTTTTGTAGGTTGAATGTCCAAGAACAAGTGGCTCTATCTGTCCTACCTCTGGTGAGGACCTCCTTGGCTGCCTTACAATATGGCAGAAAAGCAAGAAGGAAAATAAGCATGTAGAGAAGGAGCCAAGTACATAGAGTGCCCTCAGTTTATAAAAACCTGCTTTCAAAGGAACTAACCAGTGCGCCACTAGAACTACATTAACCTCTTCTCAGTATGATTCCCCCATGACCTAACCTCCTTCCAAGTGGCCCTATCTCCTAAGGCAGTGGTAGCAAACCTATGGCACGCGTCCTGCAGTCAACTGTTTGTTAGCACTGAAAGCTCTAAAAGGTTCGCCATCACTGTTCTAAGGGTCCCACCACTCTTACACTGATGTACTGGGAACAAGCTTCTACCACATCAAACCTTGGGGGACACGCCATGGGGTCAAACCATATCCAATCCGTAGTAAACCCTTTGTAGAGAATGAGTATCAGATTATAAATCAAAGGGGAAATAACAAAGTCTCCCTCTCGGCCTCCCTCATAGCAGTTTTTTTCCACTTGATCCCACTCAATATTTTTTGCATCCTGTTCTATACCAGACCCTCCACATAATGATCACGAGTCATGTCAACATCTCTTTGAAGTAGTTCCCATTGTCTCCATTTTCACTGGGAAAGTTGATGCTAAATGCGTCCATCATTTGGAAAACTGGTCTTCAACTTCATGCGGGTGAGAAGAGAGGCCCCTTCTTACGGCCCAGCACAGTCAGGAAGGTGGGATGGCGGGCAGCCCCCTCACTGACTCACAGCACGCTGCTCTGCATGAACAACAGCTTGGTCTTGGCTCTCCTGTGGCTCCACACTGAGGCAATTCGGAGCATTGAGAAATAAACACAAACACTGTAATTACAAGCCATGCGGAGTGCTGTTAAGGAAATGGTGCCCTAAAGAAGAATTGTGTTCTTGTCCTCATTAAAAATTCTCTCCTCCAGGGTCCTCAGAGAAAGGCAGAGCCTTGATCCACAGCCTGAGGGTATACTGGGGCTCCTTCTGCATGTGACCAAGAACACGAGCTTGTTCTCAGGCCACCGTGAAGATCCAGGTGTGTTCTGACCTAATTGAATGACCTAGAGCGAGCTACTTAACATTAAGTAGGCTCCACTTAGCCAAACCTGGTTCATAACATAAATGTGAGTTTCAGTTATCACCTTCATTACCTCCCTCCCACACCTGAAAGTTCTCCCAGGTGCTTCCTGTGATGGCAAGGAGAAACAGTGGCCTCCAGAGATTGTGGAACTAGGGCCATGGAGTGTCAGCTCCACTGAGAGGAAACACTCACGTCCTTGCTCCTTCCCCTCCTGTGTTAGCCACAGCAGCTGCAGCAAGTGCTCTCCAGGCCCAGCTCCCTTTGAATGCTCACTGTGTGCCTTCATGCCCAGTGCCAGGCATTTGTGTCTAGTTCTCCGTGCCTGGCCTCTAGCATCCTGAATCTGCTTTGCTACCTGCATGGGTTGCCACAAATGCTTGGGAATCTATAAGGGGCTGCAGGGAGCAGACCTGACCCCATGACTAACAGATGCAGTGAGCAAAACAGCAGCCTCCTTGAAACCCAATGGAGGGGGCTGGGGATTTAGCTCAGTGGTTCCACCACCTGCCTCACAAGTGCAAGGGTCCGAGTTTGATCCCCACTACCAAAAAAAACAAGATCTACTCAGGGAAATCAGCCTAAGACAGGATAGTGTTAACTGGCCAAGCTCTTGCTTTAAAAGAAAGCTTAGAAAGAGAGACTTGGGTGAGAAATGATTCAGTTCTAACACAATTGAACACATACACTTTAGTCTTCTCTGAGACTCTGAAGAGTAGCTACAGGCATTTCGTCCTTCTGCATGAAAGATGGAGAATTGTAAACACAGTGATACATTTGGGGAGCAGTCGTATCTTCTGGGCAACAATCGCTCCTGAATGAGTCATTGGACTTGCCATCATTGCTTGATCCCAAGTGAAGTGAAATACAACTAAACAAAGAAGTAAAGTAGCCATCGTTTGACTATTGGATGTACTTCTGCCTAAGAGAATCTATTCGTAGATGTGTAAATACAACTTATAGACATGTGGCAAGAGTGTCCTCACTTCCAGGATGACTTTCAATTAGACTGAAACGTACCTAGGTTTTTATTGAAGAATAAAAACTTAGTTCATATTAGAGATGATTTCAAGGCCAGCCCCCTTTACCATGACTTTGGTCATAAGGCCTTAGACACAAAATCCTTGTTACAGTCATAGCATTTAGAGCTTAAAGATAATCTAGCTCATTTTTTTTCTTTTTAGTTTTATACATTTCCAGTTTCTCTATAATGCTTATGTAGATAGATGGATACATGCTTACTATGTGTAGATATATGTAGATATATGTAAATATACAAATATAGAGATTGCTTGTATAATTTAAAATTTCTAAATTGCTTTGTTTTCAAATATATGGATACTTAAACAAATTTAAAGTAGAATAATGGTTTGGTTTAAATGTTATCAAAACATTTTTAAGTAATGAGATTTAAAGCCGATAGTGGGAATATAAACTGACATACTCCTTTGAAAGCAATTTAGGAAGAGCCTTTATTAAAGTTTATAACCCAGTACTTCTATGCCTATAAAATGAAAATAAAGAGACCTATCTACAAATATGAACATTTTGATAATATTTACTGGTTGGGATGGAACCCAGGCCCTGCACAACTGAGCTACTTCCCTGGCCAATTTTTTTTTTTTTTTTTTTTGAAAACAGGGTCTCATTAAATCATTAAATTCTCCGGGCTGCACTCAAACTTTCTATCCTCCTGCCTCCTCAGGCTCCCAGAGTGCTGGGATTACATGCATTTGCCACCATGCCTGGCTGGTTTTCTACCTTTTATTAAAGTATAACACACTCTGTTGTATGCTTTGTTCATAAGTCTCCAGTTCAATAAATAGTTCCAAACTGACCCCACCCGCATAACCTCACCCAAACAGACAAGCAACATACTATGGGCACCGCAGAATACAACAGGGGTTTTTTCAATGGAAACATTAATGTCCAAAAATAAAGAAAAACCTGACATGGGACATAGAGAATGAATTTTAAGCAATAAAGCTGAGCATCTAGAAACATGGTGGTCAGGCCAGGGGTGATGGCAAACGTCTGTAATCCCAGTACTCAGGAGGCTGAGGCAGGAGGATCACAGAGAGTTGGAAGCCAACCTGGGCTACATAGTGAGTTAAAGTCCAGACTGAACTATATAATGAGACGCTGTCTCAAAAAAAAGAAAGGAAGAAAAAATGGCAGTCAGGTCAAGTGATACCATGCATCGTGGCAATGAAAATAAGGTCTAAACTGATAGAGCCCTTGCGCCTGAAACCAAAAGTCAAAGGACCGTAAGCAAGCCAGAGTGAGCAGCAGATATGGGAGGCTGTCTGGCTGAGAATGGGAAGTGTAGGCATGAGTCTTTTATGCTGAGAAAAGATGGGCTCCTTCATGGGGTGTTATGCAGTGAATGTGAACGTCAAGCCAGATTACAGCCAAAGGCACTTCCAGGAACACCAGTCTTAACCAACAGGTATAGCCAACTATTATAAGAAAACATAGCTCAATTTATAGCTAAAGTAAACTGACCCCGAGATGCAGATCAAGAACTAGTGAAAAGTTTCTGAGGCCAGAGAAGAAAGCTTCTAGATGAATGAAAGACATAACCATGACATTGCAGAATACAAACCTAATACTCAGAGTAGAGCTCTTAAAGCTAGGACGGGGTGGAGCTTTCTCACCCAAAGGTCCAGGCACTAGGGGTGAACCAAAAAACAAGGTAAGGATGTCCACATGGACAGCCCAGGTCTCGAGGACAACAGCGAGCTCTGGAAGAAACCAATCACAGGATCAAGGGCAAACCTAAATTATTGCACTGGAAGGCTCCTTGGGCTCGGTAAGCCCAAAACTAGTTTGTGCCTCTTGTTTATACTGATTCATTCTTCCTTCCAACAGATAGTTACTGAGTCCTGACTAAGTGCCAGGCACCGTGCTCAGTTTCCAAGGATATGGTGTGGGAAAACGTGACACAGGGCTCCACCGGAACTGGGATAACACGGGGACCTGTGTCTGGGTCTAACACAGCCATAACTCGGGCCCCAGATCAATGCCTGCATCTAATTCTTTTTCATACTTTCGTATTCTTTTCTTTCAGTGAGTCCCTCAAAATGTACAAGCCTTGGGTCTCCTCCAACCTGGCCTCACTCCTGTTAATGAGTCTTATGAGGAACAGGTTTCTACCGTGGTGTCTCTCGCGTTTTATCACACACATTGTTTATATCTGTCTTGCCCTAGAACCCCGAGCCCTTCACATTAGAGGTGTTCCTAATTCATTTTTGTGTCTCTGAGGTTCACTGTACACTTATTAATTAAATGAATATATAATGACAGGGCTTTAGTTAACTTCTAGGTATCAGTGTTCTAAATAATCTGTCGTTTTTATTTTTAGAATGTCATTTGTTCCCTTTTTGCTTTCTCTCCGTATTTTGAAAATCACAACCTGAGCAGCAGAAAAAGGGAGGTTCTTACCCAGACCAGGGAGCCATGGAGAAAAGAGCCCTTCTGTGGCCAAGCGAAGTCAGGGCAACAAGAGACTCGGGATGTCAGCAAAGCTCCTAGCTGCTGATCAATAAGGAGGTGAAGTTCCTGGAACAAATAGTCTCTCAGGGCAACAACTCTCAAGTCTTAGCCTGCTCACCTGGAGAGCTGGTTACAACACAAATGGCTGGGCCCCACCTCCAGAATTTGTGATTCAGTGGGTCTCACATGTGATTCCCCAGGCCTCCGTAGGTCTTGTTGTTTGCATTTCCAACAAGTTCCCAGGGGATGCTGATGCTACCGCTCCGTGGGTAGCATCAGTGGCACAGCAGGGCACATCGGTGTGCCCTGCCCTGATGCTCACTCCTGGCTGAACACTGGAACCACTCGAGGGACTTTGACTGCCGATCTCTGGGCCCTCCCCACCCCTGGTGTCAGGATTAACTGGTCTGGCCCTTAAGGTTGCATAAAGTACCCCCGGGTAATTCCACAGTGCAAGGAAAGACTGCAAACCACTGTCCTCCACCATGGTACATGAGATGTGAAAGGGGTTCAGGTCATTAAGGCTGGACATACACTTTGCCTTGCAAGAACCAACGGCATCTCAAGCCTCATCTTCGGAAAACCTTGAGCATCTGAGAGGAATCTGAAGAATCTTAAAGGGTCCTGATCTCCAGACACACTCCTCCTACAACATCCGCCCAGCCTCCCTTGAGGCAATCGGGCTCTGAGGAAACTGTGTTTCAACAGCCACAGCTACTTAAACGCCAGCTAGCTGCTGCCCACACCCACTCTGCACAGACCTAAGGCCTGGAATGGCCTCCCCCACCCCGACATCCAGGAAGCCCCAGGCTGCTCCTCTCAGCCGCCCAGGCTCCTGCCTCTCCAGCTCTTTAGCTCGGTCAGTCCTTCCTCCTTGTTCCCAAGCCACTTTTTTACCTCATCTTTCCCAGTGTATTTCTCTCCTTGCCTCATAATTACTTTGGTGCATTTCCATCTTCCTCCCAGAAAAAAAAAAAAAAAAATGAGCCCCTGGAGGGTAATTTTCTTTTCCTGATAATTCTAGTACCTACCTAGCTCAGGTTGTAAATGAATGCTTTGTGAATGAATGTTGAACAACATATTATTTAGACCATTTACTCCACCCTGTGGGGCAAAAGAATTTCTTACTCTTTCTATTTTTCTCTCCATTTCCATATCTAATTGCTGAAGGCATGGACCTTTTTCATAATTAAAAGGTAAAACTCAACTTGGTAAAATCTCATACCATAAATCCCAAAACAATCAAAGTAAGCCCAATCTATTTGAATGGAGTCCCAAAATGTAGCCCAAAACAGAGAGCTAAATAAAGTGAAGTAATTAAATAAGGAAAATGAGAACTTTACTACTGCATTACAAGTTCCTGGTTTTACCTAAGTCAAAGATTAAAAAAAAAGCATGCAGGAGCAAAATGACTTAACAGTAAAATCTAAGCCCCAGAAGCTCCTAGCAGCCTTGTATTCTAAACTTAGCTCAGGCACTGGGCACCATGTGAGTGAGTCACTGCCCTCCTCGACTTAAATCATCCCTCTTATAAAACTTGTTAAAGAAAGACGTCACTGCAAATTAGATGTGGTGGCTAAGTTTAGCCATCCTCAGGACATAAATATTGTAACTTATGTGACTTCCACCATTTTTGTTTCATGACTTATATTTGGGCATGTGCTTGAATATGTGTTTATGTACACACTGCAGCTAAAGATACACCTTCTGCCTAGAGATAGATTGTATATTTATATACATATGTATGTAACTACGCACAGAAAGCACCTTGTCCAGAAACATCCTTGAGCTATTTTAAGAGGCAGCATCATTTTACTGACAAATGTTCAGAATTTAGCACCCTGACTTGCCCCCAGCCTAACCTCTATGAATTGACTCTTCTCAGAGAGGCTATGAATGTGTGTGTGTGTGTGTGTGTGTGTGTGCGTGTGTTGAGAGGAAGACAGGAAGATCTGCCCTCGCCCAGCCCCTGGCTTCTCCTCACACAATGCTTTTCACAGCAAGCCGTGCAAGCAGATGCTATCTGCTGGAACATGGAGAGTAGTCAGGTCTGCCTCCCAGAAATCCTTCTCCATGGGCTTCCAGAGAAGCCTGGGGGCCCAGCCCTCACCAGCAGTCTTTAAGAATTTTGTAATGAGCTCCTCTGTTTTACCTGCACCAGGATACTGTTATCTGGCAAAGGTTGTCCATTTAAAATTTGAGAGACTGGAGAGGTTGCTTTATCTGCTTAACCCACCACTGCCCATTTACCGTCATCTAATTAAGATCAGGATCCTGAAGGAATGGGAAAAGGGAGGGCTGCCTACGGAGAGACAAGAAAAGCTGAGGCGTGCTTGAAAAGAGGAAATGAGAAACCTGGACAGCCCAGCAGCCACCCAAGGGTCTAGGTGCCAAGGGCAAGTAGCAGATGAGAGTAGCAGGGACACCAGAAGACAGGCAGGTGTGAGCAAAAGGCTAACTGGCCCATGATCAAAACTGACTACTGCACAGGAATTTACACTTTGCAGAGAATCCTGTCATCTCATTAGAACCTCATAAATTCCCAGGGAATTAGGTATTGTTATTTTCATTCTCATTTATAGGGGAACAATGTGAGATTCCACAGTCAAGTGGCTCACCCAGGGTCATTCAGTGACTAAGCAGTGGAACTGAACTGCAAACCAAGGTCTTCAGAATCCAGCAAGTCTTTTTACTGCATGTTTCTGTCTATGGGTGTCAGGCCAAGCAGCAGCTGTGTGAGATGTTTCTGGGCCTCCAGAGCACACAGGCCATGGTTATGCCCAGTGATGGGTCTCGTGTACAGTGGCCAGAGCTGACCCACACCACTGGGCAATTGGACTGCTCACATGAGGGGAGCTGGTGCACCTGAAAACATGGAGCAAATGGCTGAAGGAGAGACTTAAGAAGGGAGCAAATATTAAAACAAGTAAGGAAAGTATCCCAACCTCCCTAAGCCAGGAGAGTGCAGGGCTCGAATCCTGTTGGGAGTCGAAGGAAGATCTGAGATCGCAGAACAGAAGCTCAGGAGAGGTCTTGAGGGTGTGGCCTGCCCCTGGACAAGTTCACACCACAACACTGCCATCCATGTGGTCACTGCAATGCATCCATAGTGAAAAGGAGGCACACTTCAGTTTCCTTCCGACAGTCACCCCGTGTTCATTCATCTTTTCTGTTTCAAAAGTGCCCTTAGGTGGGTGCAGTGCCGCATGCCTGTAATACCAGCTATGTACTTGGGAGGCTGAGGCAGAAGGATCGCAAGTTTGGTCCCAGCCTGGGCAACTTAGCAAGACCTTGTCTCAAAATAAAAAATAAAAAAGGATTAGGACTATCGCTCAATGGTAGAGCACTTGCCTAGCATGTGTGAGGCCCTAGATTCAATCCCCAGTACTGAAAAAAGAAGTGCTCTTTTGTGCTTAATTTAAATGTTTTTCTATCAGCCGTCTTAGATCTGCTCAAGAAGAAATAATCGGTGCCATTTAAATAATGTATTTAATGTTTTAAAGCCTACTAAGAACTCCAAGTTTTTTTCTTCATTAAAACAGCCACAGCTTCTTTGATATCTCCTAAAGCATAAGACTTTTTTTCAGGTCTTTAATCGATTCCATTGCTCATCTGCGGTCCCTTTCCAATTTTACCACATTCACCTTAAGACATGAAGACTACAACACGCTACCCTGGATGCAACACTCTGATAAGCAGAATAATAAAAAGCTGTTTTCCTAGCTCCTGAAAGATCACTCAATGAAAGCTAGGGTCATGTTCATGCCAAAAGCTCACTAATATACAGCAGCCCCACGGTGCTGGCATTCAACGTGCACTCCATCTGCTGCCCCTCCCTGGTCTCTCCAGTGACCTCTGCTGCATGCTCCTGAGGACCCCTGTGCTGACCTCTCTGAACAGCACACCTGGAGGACAGAGATCCATGGAAGTTTGAGAGTCTAAAATATGATAAGAGCAGCCATTTCTCATTAACACCCATGGCTAAGAGTCACAGAAGCTAAGACAAAAGTAACATTTGATCTAGCTCCTTAACAAGGAACACGAGATTCTTAGTGCGTATAGGTATCAGTGAGGCTTCTATAGGTGTAAGTAGCCTAAGGACATTTGCAGATGTTTACACCTAGATCTTTCTACAGAAAGATACCCTCATTATCCTTATTCACTAGCTCATCGGTTCCACAAGTAAAGAAAGCAAAATGGAAAAAGCCAGAGGTACCTGGAGCTGGCTGGAAAAGTGAGCATGGCAGGGACAGAAATGTCTTAGTGGTTTTCTCTTTCATTTCCCCCTTTCCATCGGCACATTCAGTCAAGCTCTTTGCTCCTCCACAAGGGAATCTACTTCCACCTAACTTTTCCCTTTTTTCTCCCTGAAGCAAAAACAAGATTGTGTAAGTAAAAGACCCAGAAATGTTCTAATAAAGAATGAGAACTGAAGCCCCAACAGCTCAGAGGAAAACAAGAAAACAGATTCCAGAGTCATCAAAGAGCCTACTGATGCTGCCAGAAGCACTGCTAGCATGTCACTAAAGACTTAGCACTTAATAGAGATGCACTGGCAGCTCAGTGCCCCTGAGCCTCTATGCCTGGAGGGGCTGAGGCCCTGCTGGCCAATATTTATTCTGTCTCAAAACATTCTTTCCAAGCTCCTCTTTTTCCTTGCTGTGCTGATGAGATAGCATAGGGCCCCTGCTCCTGCACTGAGTTTAGTCCTCTGAAATATTGCTTTGATGCACACATTGTCGGCTGGGTAATCTAAAATGGACATTTCACCAGAAGGTAGCCTAGGAAGCCAGGAAAATGAGTTGATCAGATTAATACTTGAGATCTATTTTTGAAAGGATATTCCACTCTTGATGATATGTAGGTCCATAAAACGTAATGCCGATAAGAGATCCCTGCACTCTTGTGTTCACTGCAGCACTGTTCACAACAACCAGGGTGTGGAAACCATCATTCATTGGCAGATGCATCGATGGATAGACAGATAAGGAATATGCATGTGGCATTTACAGGCAGTGGGCTATTTTATTTGGCCATAAAAAAAAAAAACCATGCGCTACAATGGGGATGAACCTGGAGGGCACTATGCTGAGTGAAATAAGCCAGTCCCAGAAGAACAAATGCCACATAGTGCTGCTTCTGAGATATCCAAACTCACCAGAGCAGAAAGTAGAATGGTGGCTGCCAGGAGCTCTGAGGAAGGGAAAATAGGGAAAGGCTCCCAGGGCATAAAGTTTCAGCTATATGAGATGAAAATTCCCTAGAGATCTACTATACAACATTGTGTTCATAGTTAACATATTGTACTGTACACTAACAGACTTCATGTTAGTGGGCGGATTTCACGTTATGTATTTTTACCACTATTTTTTAAATACCCCATTTTCCTCTACTGCAATATACATGGCAAATTGAAGTGACAATAAAATTATGTGCATGTCAAAAAAGGAACCCTTATACACTGTCAGTGGGAATGCAACTTAGCAC